TATTCTTGTATATTTATAATCTGTGTGTTATTAGTTTCAATAGATGATCTGTCTATGAGATTGTTCAAGTTTTTCATTGTTAAATTTGTTTACAGAGTTGTATATTAAGTCTCGTCAAATGAACAGTGCGCTTTCTGTCGTGTCAGCTTTTCGTCAGTTTAGTTGTGGTCTGATGCTCCACAGTACTTCGTAAAGAGTAAATTAGGTGTACATTAGCACATGACACAATTTATATCGCCTCCCTTGCGGTGAAAACGACAATACAGGCGGCGTCACGAACGCGGCATTTGCACCAGGACCCGATTCATTAAAAGTGGCTTTACTGTAGTTGCGAGGTCATGAAGCTAATCTTCAAACTAGAAATACTCTGCTAGATTACTGGGGATGTATGTCAGGTGGTGCGACTGGTGTTAATAATACTGGGGCAGTGGCCGTGGTTTCTACATGCAGGGTCTCTGTATTGCCTCTTCTGCTCCGCACAACTCGGCCATACCACTCAAGTTCCTAATTATTGCGTGGGTTGCGGGATCACTCCATAAAAAAATACGGTATGTAGGCTTGTGAGTCTGCCAGCCTGTAAGTCGCCAGTACTGACTAGAATAGAAATTATTTATTGCTTTTTCCGAGTTCCGTGGGCGTTTTGCATTTCGCTAAAGGAATAGTGAGGCAAATTTAGCGAGCAGAAGGTCGGAATAGCAATCAGCCTGCGTGGTAACTGAGCTCCTTGTCTCTGCTAGTCTCTTTAAATTATGCCTACGGGCGAACTTTCCGCACCCCCGGTAATAGAATTGGAGTGGTGCGAGCGAATTATATCGAGAAGAAGGTGAAATACACACACAGGGCAGATGCGGTATGGCCATTCCGCGCTAGCACTAATGCCAGCAGGGTACAGCATCGTGATGTGTGAAATGGTGGTGTCAGTATGACCTCCCCCTCCGGAAAAGGATCCTGGTACGACCCCCTCCCCCACCTAAACAGGGTCTCGGTACGACCCCCCACCTTTCCCAACACCTACCTACCAAGTCCCAAATTTTCCAGTTCTTCAGCCAGAAAGTTTCCGTAGCGCGGGGGGTAGGGAGGGATATTTGGTACACATAAAACAGGAAAAATCACGCGAAAAGTCAACAACCGGGAAAAATTTTTGAAATTCCTTCCCAACGCAGCAAATTTCTCTCAAAGGCACATACGACCCCCCTCTCCCAACTACCAAATACAACCCCCGTTCCCAGCGGAAAAGTACGACCCCCTATATGTTTCACACAACAATGGTGTACAGCCGCACCATACCATCGCCACCCGTTTGGGCGCGGGAGCAACAACTCAGATATTCTTAATCCCACCCACTGAAACATCACTGAAACCGTGACCCTTCGAACTGTTCAGTGAGTCGCGTTCTCGGAAGTAGTAATTGAAAGCCATTGACATCCCACACTTTACGTTCGTGCACGATTGGGCCGTTCAGAAATGATAAGAAACCTTGGGAGACTTGCAGGTTATTTAGCAAGATGCTGGATGAACTGGCATTTCTCATCAAAGGATATGATGGCGTGATAGATCGTCGGAAAAAATTCATTTGGTTATGTCGCATGTTTGAAGTATGTAAAGAACGACCGGTTCGGTTCCAAGGAAGGAAGGTATGGAGATTTACTAGTTTGTAAATGAAAGTTGCTACCATTATCACAGCAGCCTAATTAGGGGTAATGTCGAAGACACGTATAGTTCTTAACAGAGCGTCGAGGTGGGACATTACTGCGTACGTACGTTTTGGCGCGGCGACAGCTGCTTCCACCAGTCGTTGCCACTGTGGGGTGAGCAACCATTGATGGTCTTACGCTGGCGCCGCGCGCTAAAACGTTCGCAGGTAGAGAAGCTTCCAACCGACGATTCGGCAAGCGCTCCAAGTGAAACATTCTGTGCTTTGTGAAATGATTGAACAATTAGCCTTTTTGCATATAAGCACCACTCGGCAGTACATGCATTTCATAGCCGAACATAGGTGGGGGGGGAGGGGTGGGGGCGTGACCGTGCACTTCATTTTGACATGTCGAAAGATGCGTTTCTCTTGTGATCATCCCATTCGAGGCAACCATCGTCCTGTTTTGTGCGGAGGAACATCACCATGATTGTCCCAAAGTGGCTACATCCCACCAACAGACAGCCATCGCCACATTCTAGTGAAGTACGCAACTACGCCTTTCCCATCTCCAGCATAGCATATGAAAGGATGTCATAGGTGACAGGTCCACGACCACCCATAAGAGCTTGCACAGCGGCTGTCTGTCCGAGTAACACGGCTGTTAAGGGCATATTCTGCAGCTGGTTCGTGGATGATAATTCGTGGAAGAAAGCAGAAGAACACGTGGAAAGCGTCTAAAATAAAACTCGATTTTCGAGGAAAAAAAA